TATATATATATTTATATATAAATCCGTGTCCAGCAACTGACCGTGGCACCTAGGAAGCTAAGTCCAGTCCTTGTGTTTGCCCTGAACTTTCCCTTCTGTGCAACACTCCTTTGTTTGGGATTTCATAAAGCTCCCACAGCTCCTTAAGTTTGGGGATGGGGAAGCTGAGTATAGGGCATTGGTTGGCAGAGAAGGGGAGAGGCTCCAAGGAAGACCATATCCCACGTTTCTAAGCCACCCTCGACCATCTGGGGATCACCGGCCCCGTGGGGACCACATCTGGGCTCATGCCCTTTACAAGTAAAGGGAGTCTGACCCCCTCCCAGATCTCCTTCCTCCAGCATCAGGTAGGAACTGAAGTAAGACCATGAGGGGAAATGGCTCCCAGGGTCAGGGCACATGAGAAACCTCTGTTCTTACACAGGCAAGATTGGAACAGGAGGCTGGTTGCATTTAGGGCTTTCTTCTCTCTGGTATCTGGGAGGGCCAGCCTCTAGTCTTCTATCAGCTTAAACTTTGAAGATTATGAGGGTAAGGAGAGAGTAAGTGCCCACAATGGAAACGTTTCTATGAGGTCATAGCAAATCCCCCCCTTGAGCACCAACTCCCAATTTTTAAAAGCTATGCTTAGGAGGGAGGCTGCTGGATTACACTACCAGCTCAGTATTCCTTTGCCAATCAGGAGGGCTGATAATCCTTTTGAAGAGGAATTGAAAATAAGGATGGTATCCTGTGAAGGAAGGCTGTGCCTGAGGCCCAAGGAGATGGAGCCAAGGCCTGTCAAGGAAGAAGACGTTTCCCACCAAGAGGAGTTAGAGAAAGAAGAGACCAGAACTTCTTCCTTTTCCCAGTGGGGTGGCAGCATAGGTCTCTATGAGCTGGCCAGGTGCTCCACCTGGATGGTGCTGGTGGTGACAGTGAGGCAGATGTCCTTATGATGCTCCGCCGTCTTATAGGGGGTCAGGTCAAAAGAACACTGGGGTGGAGGGTTGGGGTTGCTGTCCCCACCACCCCCACCCTGGGGGGCTGCCCCCGGGGACTGGAAGTGTGGTGGCTGTGGTTGCTGCTGCTGCTGCTGTTGCGATGCCTGGGAAGCCTGGGCTTGGGCTTGGGCTTGAGCCTGGGCTTGGGCTTGGGCTTGGGCTTGGGCTTGGGCTTGAGCCTGAGCTTGAGCCTGGGCCGCTGCTGCCGCTGCTGCCGCTGCCTGCACTTGTTGCTGGAGATCAGGAGGGTTGTGTTTGCGCATATGTTTCATAAGGTACGTTTCCTGGGAGAGATGGTAAAAAAGAGTTGAGGGGGGGAAAAGAAGGAAAGAGGTTACTTATAACTAGCATCCTGGGCTCTTACTTTACTTAAAATAGAGCAGGACTTACACTCAGATATATTCTGAAGCCATGGGCAAGTTCACCCTACGAGCCACTTTCAGGGCTCACTACTGGCTAAAAAGGTGGGGGGAGGGGGGTGTCCTTTAGACCAGCAGTTGCCAACTGGTGGTCCCCGGGCCACTGGTGGTCCATGAGGTCCAAAAGGTTGTCAACTGCTGCTTTAGAGTCACCATGGACATTCAATTGGCACAGGAAAAGGCTGTCACTTTCTCAAAGATCTTTGCATGGAGCTTGCTGTTCTTTGTTAAGAAGCTTAGTGGTCTTAACACAACTGAAACCTTGCTGTCACATATTTAGGCAATGCAGTCCCCTTAAGATTTGTATGTAGAAAATCTCATCAACCAAGATTTCACTTCAGATATATCAAAGCTGTTCCCTTCTGTGGCTGGGGATACAGTCTCACCACACAGCATTCGTTTTTCACATATAGAAACTCTAGTGTAAACCCTCAGTACTGGCCTCTAATATCTCTCCAAATAGCTTTTCCCATGCTCGCTCACATCAGTAGCTCCACTGCCTCTGATCCTTTTACATGAATTTATTTCTATACAAGGTTCTAAAAACACCCCTTGGTTTGTACATAAGTTTTTTCTTCATTTTAAATTGCTTTATAACAACTGGTTTCCTGTCTTTTTTTTTTTTCATTTTCTCTTTTCTCTGAAATCTGCCATGATTGGAAAAAGAAAAAGACAAAGGAAAATAAAAATGTCATTGGTCAGAAGACAGGGTGGGGGAAAAGGGACAAAAATAAACAAAAGATCAAATATGAAAATTCTCAGCGATAATGCATTTATAAACACAGAAATGGTTACAACAAAAATGGCCGTGATGAGTGGGTATATATATACTTATATA